AATATGGTTGCAGAGAGACCACACATAACTAACCAGGAATACACATAAACAAACTTGCTCCCTTTTCTAAAGTAATGAGACTGACAAAAAAACAAACAGCTCTCTGAAGTTTGAATCTGCTGGCCACCATGTTGGGAGGACTAACATTCTATGAACCATCCAACATGGTGGCAGACACTTTGTTTCGATAAATTAATTATGGCTCCTTTCTTCATAATAGAAGCTAATAAAGCTGGAGAAAAACCCTCGGAACAAGGATGAGAACCAACAACAAACTCAACCCACATATGACTCCCGGCTAGAATCAAAGCCGAGGCCACATGGTGGGAGGCAAGCGCTCCTACAACTGCACCATTACTGTTGTCAAGAGTAGCACTGGGATAGATCTTATATATATCCAGTGCTTTTCTCTGTTAATATCAATGACTTACTTGCCACTCTCTATATTGAAATCTCAAATTGATATAATATTATATGCTGATAACAATGTAACATCTGATCAAGTGGTGACTGTAATGAGAGATCGTATCTTGATCAGATCATGTGCACGACATGTGATTTAAAACAAAAATAAATAAACAACTTTTCTAAGTGTCAGAGGATTTAGCACTGCTGTACTAATATTATTGTGGACACTGTAAATGAAGAAACAAATATTGTGAATATAACATAAGCTTGTTAAGAATCCCAACTGGTGTAAAAATATAAAATAGGTGACAGGCCTACACGACTCCTACAGTTTGTGACATTAGTACATTTGCTGTTCTCTATTAAATGTAGTCTGCTTTAAGTGTGTTTGTAATATGTTTAATTTGAGGAGGATTTTCCAGTAGAGCCTTCGACTGTGTACATTCTAGCAAATTGTCTATAAGAGGTCATGTTTGGCCTCCTGTCAGGCTTTCAATTCGCCCTGTAGAGTTTGACACCTCTGTAATTTGCGACGCTCTGCTAAGGTTTGTTTCGGCTCATTTCTATCGCAAGATATGTTTTTGTCTCTCTTAATGTTCTCTCTGGAAGGACTAGATATCAAATATTCCGTGTAGGATGTTGATTTCTTGCATTTCTAGCCGGGCCCGGCATTTGAATTGATAATTATAAAAGCTATTGCAAGATGAATTGTTTGGAATAATGGATATCATTATTTGTCCTGGTCCAGAGACTAATGGAGCTTCTACGAAGCTACAATAGTTTGTTTAGAGAGATGGAGTATGCCTGATGCTAAGGCTTTATCTCTTGCATCAATTTGTCCGAGCCTGAGCTCGATGTCTGTATCCTCCTTTGTTTGTTGTGTGACATTCTTGCACCACAAGAATCTCACGCAAGTCGAGTGTTTTGCGTTTCGTGTATGTAGTTTCTTCTAGCTTTGCACTCTATGTTTTAGTCTGAGAAATAATAAACAGTTTAAAATTTTAAAATTCTAATGTAAAAGTGCACTGTATATACTTGGTAAAAACTTTCAGGCGAGTGAGTTAAAACAATCTAATACTCCCTAATTTGGGAGTAGAATAATAATAGTTATTCAATTAGATATGGTGGACAGAAAACATGCTTAGCTTTCAGCCATGGATTATGTTCAACTAAGTGCGCTTTGTTCTGTCATTTGTATGACACCTCAAAGAAGAGCCAGAGAGGACGAATTTTTGAAGCAGAGCTGGTCATCGAAAGGCAAAAGGCACACTTTGCGCGAATGGCTAGGGCTGCTGTAATCGAAGATTGCAGGCCGAACCTAGGGCTGCTGTACTAAAAGACTGCAGGCCTAAAAAGCTCGCATTTTGCAGAAAATTGTGATACCAAACATGCATGATGCATGCTTTGATAAGAACTTTCAACTGTTGGTGGTATATGGCAAAGCAGACGAGTTTGCTTGAAAAATAATCACTCAATTAGCCCTGCTTTTATCCAAATTTTATGTCAATGATTACAGCTGTAATGAAACACTTGAAAAAATTACTCAATTCTGATTGGCTAAGAGCAGTGCAGTTCAAGTATTACACCAGTGCAAAAAGTGTAACACCAGTGCAAATCACAATTTCCGAAGATTTCCGAAGTTAGCACGAAGAAACACGAATACCCCTAACAGCTGCTGACGGTCATAGAGGTATGCCAAAGATGGCCGAAGTTCACCCGAAGCCTTCCGAAGGTTTCCAAAGATCACCCAATGACTTCCGAAGATTACCCAAAGTCTTACGAACTTCATCCAAAGACTTCTGAAGTTTACCGAAGATTTCCGAAGATCACCTGAAGATTGCCGAAGATTGCCGAAGATCACCTGAAGATTGCCGAAGATTGCCGAAGATCACCTGAAGATTGCCGAAGATCACCTGAAGACTGCCGAAGATTGCCGAAGATTGCCGAAGATCACCTGAAGATTGCCGAAGATCACCCGAAGACTTCCGAAGATTTCCCAACTGAACAAAGTTTTAGGAAAACCAAGGACTCCTCAGCCTAAGTACTTAGGCTGAAATTTGGAATAAATAAGCACTTGTAAATTGCACTTACAAATTGCACTCGCCCTATGGGTTCGTGTAATTTTGTTAGTTTTGAAAAATCTACTTGTGCTTATTTAATCCAAATTGCACTCAAAATCATGTGATTACCTATACCAATGTGGAACTTCCATGTCAATATTTACAGCTGTCAAGAATAACAGTTATTTTGACAGAACTTTACTGTCAAAAGATTACAGCCGTTATGTCTAACTTTCATTTACACATAACAGCTGTTATGGGCAAATTG